AAAAAATACCTTATACACCCACCTATCCTGGGTGCACCAGTTATGGAACGTCCTCTAATCTTATATGCGACAACCATGCCTATGTCGTTGGGAGCTCTTTTAGCACAGAATAATGAGTCCGGAAAGGAAATGTCCCTATATTACCTTAGTCGCACCCTCGTGGGGGCTGAGTGAAACTATCCGGACATGGAAAAGATATGCCTCGCATTGGTGTTTGCAGCACAAAAATTGCGCCATTACATGCTAGAGCATACTGTACACCTCATATCGAGAGCAGACCCTCTCAGGTACATCTTAAATAAAATGGTGCTTTCAGGTAGACTGGCTAAGTGGGCGATGTTTTTGTCGCAATTTGATATAAAATTTGTGCCACAAAAGGCCATGAAGGGGCAGGCGTTAGCTAACTTCCTAGCCACACATCCAATACCCGATGATTTCCCCATATATGATGACTTCCCGGATGAAGAGGTGTTCACTACATCAGTTGCTAGTACATGTTGGCAAATGTACTTCGACGGCGCATGTCGACGGTCAGGGGAAGGTGCCGGAGTCATCTTTGTGACGCCAAGCGAAGGGATAATCCCGTACTCATTTACCCTAACTTCAGCAGTTTCAAATAATTCGGCTGAATATGAGGCTTTGATTATTGGGCTTGAATTAGCTCTGAATATGGGGCTAGATTCACTCACTGGTTATGGTGACTCTCAGCTAGTGATCAACCAACTACTGGGAATTTACATGGTAAAGAAAGAAGAACTAATGCCTTACTTCCAACGAGCCAAAGTGCTCATGTCCATGTTTGCTGATCTAAATATTCGGCATGTTATAAGAAGTCAGAATGAAAAGGCCGACGCCTTAGCGGGTTTAGTCGCTAGTATGTCATCAACTTCACATCAACTGATGGACGTTCGTGTTGAAGAATGCAGAATCCTACCTATACTCGCCGAGGAGGAGGAGACGACGACATCGGTTGCGATGACTGCAGAGGTCTACAAAATTGAAGTCAGAGACTGGCGAAGCCCTTTCCTGAAATACTTGCTCCATGGATATTTACCTCTGGACTCCGCAGAAAGGTCTAGAGTTCGAAAAGGTCAGTTCACTATACATGCATAAACGATACCCTATATAGACGTTCCTTCGAGGGCATCCTCCTCCGCTGTCTAGCAGGGAATGAAATTTTGGAAGCCTTGAATGAAGTGCACGCTAGGGTGTGTGGGGCGCATCAATGTGGCCCTAAGTTATATTATCAATTGCGACATCTTGGTTACTATTGGCCTACCATGTTTGACAACGCCATGAAATTTGCAAAAAGGTGTCACGAGTGCCAGGTACATGGTAATTTCATACATCAACCCCATCAGCCATTGCATCCCACAAATATTGCATGGCCATTTGAAATGTGGGGAATGGATATAGTAGGACCTATTAATCCACCATCATCAAAGGGGCATAAATTTATCCTAGCTGCCACCGATTACTTCTCTAAATGGGCCGAGCTTATACCATTAAAAGAGGATAAGGGAGAGCACGTGGAGCACTTCATAAGAACACACCTCATATATCGCTTCGGAGTTCCTTCCCATATCATGTCTGACAACGGGGGACCATTCAAAAGTAAACATGTCGATAAGTTATGCTCGAAATTCAAAATAATTCATCACTATTCTACGGCTTATAATCCGGCAGCTAATGGACAAGTAGAAGCTTTTAATAAAACCCTGTGCAAATTGTTAAAGAAAGTCGTGTCTAGAAATAAGCGTGAGTGGCATGACAAACTTCTTGAGGCCTTGTGGGCTTATAGAACCACGACACGTACACCAACTGGAATGACACCGTACTCCCTCGTATTTGGCGGAGAGGCAGTTCTGCCGTTAGAGGTACAAATTACCTCGCTTAGAGTTGCTATTCAGGAGAAACTTTCTGAAGAAGAGGCCATAAAATTACGCCTCGGCGAACTCGAAATGCTCGAAGGAAAACGCCTTCAGGCATTACAAAATTTGGAGGCGTACCAGGCTAGAATGTCACGTGCTTTCGACAAGCGCGTTAAAAGGAGATCATTCAAGCAAGGACACCTAGTGCTTGCCGTCATCCGTCCAATGAATGTTACATGCCGTATGGGGGGAAAGTTCGAGCCAAAATGGGAGGGTCCCTACATCGTAAAGGAAGTCTACTCTAGCGGCGCATACAGGATAATTTCTCCTGATGGCCAATATTGTCCGCCACCGGTAAACGGGAAATTCCTTAAGCGTTACTATGCTTGAGTAAAGACAAAATATGTGTATATACTCCATACCCTCAAGAGTATAAACTAGGGCACACAAAAAAAACTCCAACGACCTACGAGTATAAACTGTGATGCAAAAGAAAAATCATAAAAAAATGTGTGTATGTATATACTCCATACCCTCAAGAGTATAAACTGGGGCACGCAAAAAAAAACTCCAACGACCTACGAGTATAAACTGTGATGAAAAAAAAGAATCATAAAAAATTGTGTGTACGTATATACTCCATACCCTCAAGAGTATAAACTGGGGCACGCAAAAAAAAACTCCAACGACCTACGAGTATAAACTGTGATGAAAAAAAAGAATCATAAAATATTGTGTACATATACACCCCACACCCTTATGAGTATAAACTGAGGCACATAAAATGTTACTCCAATATCTTACTAGTCTAAACTGTGGTGTAAAAAGAAATGGCTCCAAATTCTCATGAGCTTAAACTGGTGTACAAAAGGGCAGTGTACATAAAAATATAAATAGATTTGTAAAAGATAAAAAAAATTGAGCAGTGAAATAAAGTAATAAGGCTTCAAGCAGAAAAACTATAAATAAATAAAGGTTTTACCAAAGCTAGCTCATGCCATTAGCACGAAGTATCCATACCACACAGAAAGCCGGGCTGTACGAATAGCATTGCATAGTCCTTCAGTACACATGAATAAATCGCACACAAGTATACGCGAATGGTGCTACTGGTGTGTGAGAAAATACGAGAAAATGGGTGTACCAATTGGCCGCCTTATGTAAGTCTGAGTAGAAAATGTAAATAGACAACATGTCTAATTTATTAGGAGCAAAAAAACTCAGTTGGACTTGGAGCGCCAGTCCTTCAGACTTCTGATAATAGACTTGATATCATTCTCCAGCGTTGATATCTTCCCTTTAAGAGCCTCCAGTGCCTCTGAAGCTTTCACATTAGCCTCGAGCAAATCTTCATGCAGCTTCTTGGCTTCAGCCTGCTTGGCGGAACGGTCCAACTCCAGTTGCCTGACCCTCTCTCCATATGTAATCAACTCGGCATTAGCTTCTTGCAGTTGAGCGGAGAGGGCCTCCACACGCTCCTTCTTCTAAGCATGTTTCTCCAGCACAGATGACATCTCTGCTGCTGAGGTTTTCAAAGACGCTTCAATTGATTCAGCCTTGCTCTCTGCTGTAGTAACAAATTCAGACTTTTGCTTTGACTAATCCTCAACTGTTTTGCGGGCTTCCTGCACTGCATCTGAGATTGAAACAATTTTTTCCCAACCTGTGCGGACAGCGGCAATCTGAGGAGCAGTATCACCAACCGGAAGCACAGATCGACCTACCTGGAAAATGTCACGACGTTGAGAATCAGTTAATGTAGGGGTGTCTAAGGCTTCAAAAGCATTCTTCAACACCAAATCGATGGCATCCAGAATTGGCTTCGTAATGGCAGAAATATCCACGGGTGACGCTGAAATATGTGTCATCATTCCTTTGCCTCTAACAAGATTAGAAGCTCCTTCTGTACCACCTTGCAATGTAGAAAGAAGTAAAATTAATAATCTTGGAAACGATGAATAATAATGTCAAAGAGTGGATAAGAGCTGTATAAATCTACCCTGTTCAGAAGTAGACAAAATGTTTAAAACATCAGCGCTCGGAGACAAGTTTGAGTCCAAACTTTGTGAAACAAGGGGGGGATTAAGACCTGAGCTTTATACACCATAATCATCCACATTTAAATTATCTAGATCACCTAGACCATGATCAACCTCTCCACTAAGTATGCCATCGAGATCCACACTACCAAGGTCAGATATGTGGATAGGTCCATCCAATCTAATGGGACTAGAATCATCCTCTTCGTTTAGAGTATCCACCTTCCTTTTAGTGAAAGGCCTCACATCTTCACTTGTAGAGACGAGGGCAGCATCTTCCCCGAGCTCGTGAAGTGAGGGATCGCGAGAAGGACAATCAACAATATCCATTTTCTTTCGCTTCTGTAGAAAGAAATACATGTTAACAAAATACAGGAAACAGGAAGTTGATGTCATAAAACGGGTTAAATCAAGTAATAGTTATTTAACTCACACGTCGGGGTTTCATAGAAGGTTCATCATCCGAAAGAAAAGCATGTAAAATTGGATTCCAATGATCCACAAAAGCCTTCTCCTCTGCCTCGATTTTTTCAAACAGGTCTTTTGATGACTCACTAATACTTCCTTTATGATAAAGAGATCATCCTCTAAAAGAGTACATGTGGGGTAAAGCTTTTTTCCCCTTTTCGCACACATGCTTTTCCTCTCATCGTACGGGATTTTGATGCACATATTGCCAGACTTGAGGCTATTCAAGATTGTAGAGTGTGGATGTGCAAATTTCCTCCACCAGTTGGTCCAAGCCAGAGAAGCCCTACCTACATAATTAGTGCCAAGGGCATGCTGGATATCCTTTTGGACTGGGTGCAGTAAATGTGACCAGTACGCATACGCAACACCAACATCAGCTTCAGTTAATAGTGATTGCAATGGGTTGTATGGAACCTGTTGATCTAGCTTGAACTGACGAGCTACGCGATCTGGGTGATAGGGTTCGGCTGCACATAGATCGGTGGACTCTGCCGAGAACCTCCAAGGAAGCATTCCCCGACGAATAGAAATGGCAAAGAACCTTTGTAGTTGATCGACCCCTGTCAGGTTGCGCGAGGAATAGGGGCACCATATAATATTATTATGGTTTTCCAAAAACTCATGCGGTCTCTGGGGAAAAGACCTTGGGTGGTCGGAACATGGTGCTTAGCATAGCCAGTTGCATAGGAAGTCTCTTCGGAGAAGGAAGTTTTTCCCCTTTGCCTTTGGCCCCAAAAGCTTTCTTCAGATAAAGATGCATCCATCCAATAATATAGTGGATAGACAGAGGTGTCTGTTCAAAGGAAGGCCCAACAGGATTTGTGCTGATACGACGAAGAGCAAGATATAGGGAGGAAAGCGCAGGGGGTGCCAATGATATCTTCCGCCCTAAAGCAATCCAAGACGCCATGACAAGGACGCCAAGGCGAATAAACGGCCCTTCACCAACGACCACAACGCAGCAAAGCCAAAGCGCGACAAAAGCTGCGACATACATACGACTTTTACGAAGACTGGCGGATGGCGAAAAATCAGCCCGCTTGTTGTGGAAATAATCACACCAAGCCTGGAAAGTACCAAATTTTTCTTTATGCTTGCTTTCGGTGGAAAGAACCTCCCACATATCCAAAAGATCAAATAAAAAGTTGGGGTACAAGAGTAATGAAGGATTTAACTTAGTGAGTGACGGGATATATTCTTCGTAGGGTTCGCCAACTATAGGCAGCCCAGCCATAAGTAACATATCAAGCAAAGTGATGGTGCGTTCGCCACATAAGAGCATGAAAGTATTGGTTTGAGGACTCCACCTCTCTAGTAAAGAGTGGAGCAAAGAGGGGCTGACAGAATAATCGCAAAGGGAACAATAAATGGTGCCACGAATGTAGTCCGTATTTTCTTCGCCCCCTTGCAGATTAAAATAATGATTGTTTAAGACCTCAACACCCCATTGAGTATAACCCTTTGGACGTTTGACATACTGTATTTCATGATACTCCCAGCCCAATTTTTGTGATACTATCCTGGTCCCTAAAGTGAAGTCTAGATCAGATCTAGGAATGGGTGCCATTGGATGGTAACACAAGGCGTGAAACGAATGCTCGGAATGCCATCCACGGAGGGAAGAATCCAAAGTTCCCCGTGATAATGTTGAATGGACAAGTACCGGGTTAGCTAATTCATGAGTTGCTGGCTCACACAACTGTTGTTTAGCTAATTTGGATATGGTCAACTGATAGGAGGAAACCAAAGGTTGACCATGCGCCATCTACATACACATATATGAAAATAAAATCACCGGCGTGAATTGAAATAAAGCGTTTCTGAAAGTTAAACATAAAAAGGCTCTATATGTATTACCTGAATTTTCAGGGTGCTCGTTCGTTTTCAGTTAATCGATGAATAACTGAATGCTTCCTGAAAAGAAGGGAGCATAAGTAAAAAAATACGCATGCTCATGTAGGTTAACTGTGCGACGGTCCAAGTTCATACAGAAACTTGCCGGGACGCCAATGATGAGAAAATTCAACTCTGTTATATAATGGCACATTTAATATCTTATAATCCCCACATTTGTGCGATGGACCAAGTCATGAAGACTTGCCGGATTGCCAAATGGGAGACAAGTGGATAACAACAGTTTCATATAATGTTTATCTCTATAGTTGTGCGATGGACGGGGAAAAATCATAGCTCCCAGCACGCCAACTATGAGAGAGATCCATGCCAAATATATGATAATATCTTAAAAAAGGATTGTTATCGCTCTAGGCCACTGAAAAAAATATTATATAGGTATATCTGGCCTCATGGATGTACCACGGACCAAGTTCGTATAGAAGCTTGCCAGCACGTCAACCATGAAACGAGAATCTACAAATATATTATAACATCTTAAAGTTTAAAAAAAATTGTTCTAACTTCAGGCTACTGAAATTTTTGGACATGTATATTTAGTCTCATGGATGTACGCCGGACAAAGTTCGTATAGAAGCTTGCCGGCACGTCAATCATGAAACAAGAATTCCTATAGATCTCAAGTATGATGACAGTAATTAGACAAGATGAACGTCGTAAATAGTGGTCTGAAAGGATACTTTTAGGAGACAGGAGAATCACGACGTCACTGACCTTAAGCCCAAAACACATCTGCCTCTACTAAGATCAGTGGATCCAATCGAAACTTGTTTCCTCCTGAAAAAAGGAGATTAATAGGATTATTAGATTAAGAGGAATCTTAAGAAAACAAGGGAAGTAGCAATGCGTACCTGATGGCCGGAAGATCTGAGTTAGGCTAGAGGCAGCCCAGTTGTACGCAGGAAAAATAGTCCTGCTGGTTGATGACGTGAGGAAAAGAGAAAAAAAGGGTGTAGACTCCTGCTAAAACTGCACTTATATGGCGACGAGGCCGGCCGCTGATAACAACTTTCTAGTATTGAGTCCTTATCCGATTAAGCAATCCTAACAAACTTTCAAAGCAGCGTACCACATGTACGTGAGGCTAATATCTGGCCGATGATTTTTTTTGAATAAATAATAGTATGTGCGTACACCTCCAATGCTATGCCAAATATTAGAAATACGCTCAAAAAAATAAATATATGCATATTTTCGAGCTCTGAATCCGAATATTAATTAAAAAAATGCTCGCATTCAGATCTCGAGGGGCATCTGTTGACACCGATTTTGGCCAAAGGAAATATAGTTCGATTAAAACAAATGAATTACTTTAAATGGTGAAAATGATAAAATACACCATTGAGTGTAAACGACCAGGGTGAATTTCCACCGCCTAATACAATCCAACAAACACACAAAATAAATTAATAAAAAGAGTCGATATCTGGAAATTTTGCAAAGTGAATAAAGATCTCCATGAAAAATTTGTCCCGACTAAAATCACACATAACTTCCATCCATGCACGCCGTCACCTACGGCAGGTGTCAAATACTTACATAAAATCATAATGTTTTCGAAATATCCACCATAGGGTAAATGTGAGGCCTATT